ATAAACACATGTGTTTTGGATTAAAACACACACACACACACATACACACTAGATATACAGAGGAGACTTTCAAAAGAATATACACTAAGATATTAACAATTGTGCAATAATGACTGGTGATAGGAGGAATTTTTTTTTGAAGATTTTATTTATTTTTAGAGAGGGGTAGGGAGGGAGAAAGAGAGGGAGAGAAACGTCAAGGTGTAGTTGCCTCTTGCAAGCCCCCTACTGGGGACCTGGCCCTTAACCCAGGCATGCACCCCTAGACTGGGAACAGAATTGGGGACCCTTTGGTTCTCAGGCTAACACTCAATCCACTGAGCCATACCAGCCAGGGCTCAATCAATAATTCTGTAAAATACCAGAATGTAGTTATAATATATGTACAGAAGGTTTTTTTAAAGTGAAAAAACAAATGGTTTGTGAGGTTTGTGATGACCAAAAACAATCCGTTCCAGTACCCACCCCACCCCCCCCAGTCCCTGGTCTCCCTTCCCAGAGGCAAGTACCCTCATATCATCCAAGTACTCCCTCCAGTACTGACCTCAATTTTTCTAAGTCATATGCTTATATGACTATTTCTTGGTTATCAAATTTTGTGATTTATTGGATTTCTGCCATGTTACTTAATCAGAAGACTAAACTCTTCCATTCCTAATCCACTTCCCCTCTCATCTAGTCTTACAACATAACTGTTATTGATATATTTTGTGTTTGAATCAAAATGGTCGTTGAAATTTCAGAAAGTAAGATCTAAGAAGTTGTAGCAAAAGAAAAGCTCACAGCCAAGAACTAAATGTTTTGAATTTTAGTTTTAGAGGTGGAGGGGTAGTTAATAATGGAGATAAAGAAAGCGGAGGAGAGAAGTAGAAAATAAAGACCAAGTGATATGTCTGGGAGCTATAGGAAGAGAAGAAGGAAGTGACTGATTTGATCTATTTTTTTGAGTATTAGTAGTAAAAGGAATGGCTCCACTTTTCTTTATTTGAGTGGAAACATGAGAATCTCAGATAGGAAGGGCTAGGGTAGGTAATGCAATTTCCAGAGCATCTCCTTATTCTTTGTAGTGGGAAATAAAGAGAATGCAGAAATTGGGTGTCCAGACAAAATATGGCCATATGGAATGTCATCCATTCCATGGTCATAAAATAAGTAATGTGGACTTTTGGCCAAGATGGAGGCATAGGTAGACACACTATGCCTCCTCACACAACCAAAAGAAGGACAGCAACAATTTAAAAACAAAAACAAAAACAAAAAAAAACTGACAGAAAAATCAAACTATGTGAAAGTTCGACAACTGAGGAGTTAAAGACACATTTATCCAGACCAGTAGGAGGGGCGTAGTTGGGCAGCTGGGGCGGAGAGGGCTCACAGGAAAGCAGCGGCTGGTGGACTTGGCTGGTGGACCCGGCTGGTGGACCCAGCGAGGTGGCGGATTGTGGAGGGGTGTGGTGCACAAGGTGGGGCTGGCAAACCGGGCAGTCCCACATTCAAGTACAGATAAACCAGGTGAAACTGGGTAGCGGGACACACCGCACAATCCAGGGCCCCAGTGTGGGGAAATAAAGTCTCAAAACACTGATTGAAAACACCTGTGGGGGGCTGCGGTGCAGGGAGAGACTCCCAGCCTCACAGGAGAGTTCGTTGGAGAGACCCACAGGGTCCTAGAATGCACACAAGCCCACCCACACAGGAATGAGCACCAGAAGGGCCCAGTTTGCTTATGGGAAGTGGGGGAAGTGACTGAAATCCCCGAAGAGAGCAGAGCAAGCGCCACTGTTCCCTCTCTGACCCCACCCCCACATACAGTGTCACAACCTAGCAACTGGGCTGTCCTGCCCTGGTGAACACCTAAGGCTCTGCTGTCACTACATTAACAGGCACGTCAAGACAAAAAAAAAAAAAAAAAAAAAAAAAAAAGGCCCAAACTAAAGAACATCAAAGCTCCAGAAAAAATACAGTTAAGTGATGAAGAGATAGCCAACCTACCAGATGCACAGTTCAAAACACTGGTGATAAGGATGCTCACAGAATTGGTTGAATTTGGTCGCAAGTTAAACGAAAAAATGAAGGCTACACTAAGTGAAATAAAGGAAAATGTACAGGGAACCAATAGTGATGGGAAGGAAACTGGGACTCAAATCAATGGAGTGTACCAGAAGGAAGAAAGAAACATCCAATCAGAAAAGAATGAAGAAACAAGAATTCAAAAAAAAGAGGAGAGGCTTAGGAACCTCCAGGACATCTTTAAACGTTCCAACATCTGAATTATGGGGGTACCAGAAGGAGAAGAGGAAGAGCAACAAATGGAAAAGTTATTTGAACAAACAATTAAGGAGACCTTCCCCAATCTCGCAAAGGAAATAGACTTCCAAGAAGTCCAGGAAGCTCAGAGAGTCCTAAAGAAGTTGGATTCAAGTGTAACAGGGTGCAGCCAAGAGGGGGGCCCCAAAAAGGGATTTGGAATGGGGTTCAGAACTCAAGGTGTCCAGGAAATATTAGAAAAATATATAGGATGTCCTCACCCCTTCCCCCCACAGGTTTGAGTTGGGGGAAGGGACACATGGAGCAGGGCCATTGAGAGCTGTTTTGCATAGCAACAGCTTTGCAGCTAACCTCTGGCATGGTCATTTCACATATCTATAGCCTTTAACTGGTCGCACAGATACGTTAAATAGCTGTGGCCATGCTTTGAGCCAGGGGGATGGAAATGATTTCCACCCAAGACTTAACTGGGAGGAAACCCCCTGATTACAGCACCTGCATGAGAACTTGGAAATGACTGGCTCCACGCCACGGGGCCACACCTGCCCAGACTCACTATGGCAGTCCAATAAAGCCGGAAGGATATGCGAGTGCTGGCCAAGTGTAGCCGATTGTGGGACGAGTCAGAAATGGGGCTCCAGCAGAAGACTGGCATGGGGATTTAAACCCAGACTCGTCAGCCATGTGGAGAGAGAACCACACAGTTCTGGCCAGAGTGGAAACTCCCACATCCATGTGAGGGAGAATCACCATGCGGCTTTGGCAGGGAACCACCACTCGGCTTTGGCAGAGTGGTGACCCTCTTCCCCAAAGCTTTGGTGGGGAGAGAACCATATGCTTTTGGCTAGAGTGAAGACCCCATGGCTTTGAGGTGCTCCCTTTGGCCACGTGGCTTAAGAAGTAGGAGAGACTTTGCCTGGAAGAAAAGGGGTGCAAGGACTTTTGTTGGTGGGCCATGAGAAGGTGCAGCATACCTCTGGATTAACTGCAGATCCTGACACCGACACAGCTGATGGTGCTGAGAGCCTGAATCACGGACTGCAACTTTTCCTGAGATACAGTAGCCCAGATAAGGCCAGAGGGAGAAGGAAGGACGGTGTGTGTCTGTGGGTATCTTAAAAGACTTTAATATTTTAATGAAGACATTAGGTTGCTACTTCAAGCCTGTATAGCTTTAAATAAACATTTTCTTTCCTTTTCACAAATCTCTGGCATCGAGAGACATCTTTCCTATGGCGGCAAACAATGTGAACCTAGTGGGGGTACTTTTGGTAATAGTATATTGTGCCCACTTTGGACTTGTTCTATAACACAAGGAGGAACACAGCAAGGCACATCATAATTACCTTAGCCATGATTAAAGATAAGGAGAGCATCCTAAAAGTAGCAAGAGAAAAGGAGAGAGTTACCTACAAAGGAGTGCCCATCAGACTATCAGCTGATTTCTCAAAAGAGACCTTGCAGGCAAGAAGGAACTGGAAAGAAGTATTCCAACTCATGAAAGGCAAGGACCTACATTCAAGATGACTCTATCCAGCAAAGCTTTCATTTAGAAAGGAAGGGCAGATCAAGTGCTTCTCAGATAAGGTCAAGTTCAAGGAGTTCATCATCACCAAGCCCTTATTATATGAAATGTTAAAAGGACTTATCTAAGAAAAAGAAGATAAAAAACATGTACAGTAAAATGACAGCAAACTCACAATTATCAACAACCACACCTAAAACAAAAACAAAAGCAAACAACCAGAACAAGAACGGAACCACAGAAATGGAGTTCACATGGAAGGTTATGAACAGAGGAGTGAGAGGGGGAAGAGAGAAGAAAAAGGTACAGGAAATAAGTAGCATAGATGGTAGGCAGAAAATAGACAGGGGGAAGGTAAGAACAGTATGGGAAATGTAGAAGCTAAAGAACTTATATGTATGACATTTGGACATGAACTAAGGAGGGAAATGTGGGTGGGAGAGGGTGTGCAGGGTTGAAGGGAGTGAAGTGGGGAAAATGGGACAACTGTAATAGCATAATCCATAAAATACAGTTTAAAAAGGGGGAGAAAAAATGGGACAAGTGTAATAGTATAATCAATAAAATATACTTAAACGTTTTTTAAAAAGTAATCTAATTGGTGATTTCCAGGTGTTCTGCCCCTCAGCTTTAAAGTAATCCAAGGATTGACTTTATTTATTCATTACTTCCCATTTTATAAGGGATAAAGATGAAATCTGACAAATACTGTTTCAGCCATTCAATAGAAAATGTCAGGTATATACACATATGTTAAGCATGGGTAATAATCTAACTATTATTTATGATGACCAAACACAGTAACACAATACACTTAGTTTACACTTTAGTTCTCATAAATTAAAGTCTTTGGGCTAATGCACCTGAAATCTCTAATACGTTTCCTAAATGATAAATGAGAAATTAAATTACTGCTATAATTTCTAGTATAGATACAACATTGATATTAACATATAACTCCATTCAACAATATTAAGAGGCTTGATTAAGAAAAAAATCCTGCCCTGGCTGGTGTAGCTCAGTGGATTGAGTGCTGGCCTATGAACCAAGGATCATGGTTCGATTCCCAGTCAGAACACATACCTGGGTTGCAGGCCAGTTCCCGGCAGGGGATGCACCGGAGGCAACCATACATTGATATTTCTCTCTCTCTTCTTCCCTTCCCCTCTAAAGATAAATAAATAAAAATCTTTAAAAAAAGAAAAAAAATCCTCACATTTCCAGGGTCTAAAATTAATGAATCAAACAATCAATCAATCAATTAAAATGTACTAAAGATCAGTAACTTTTAAAGAACCCCTCTATCCTGAGTGTGAAGCTGGCTTTTGGTGTTGCTTTTGCGACTGCCAATAGCCACCGATGATGGTTCTTCTCTTCCTTTGGAAGAGTAAGAGGGAGAGAGCACAGTCTGAGTGGTAATAAATAAATAAATACATATACACATACATACATAATAAACCCCTAAAATAATAAAAACTCAATGAAAATAATAGACAAGAGTCTCAGAAAATATGAATGCCTTTTCAAAACATACAAATCGTAAGCTGTTCTACAAAGAAACATGCAAATGAATGTTCCACTGACATGCCTTTCTTCTGCATCAGTTTGGTAAAGATCAAAAAGTTTGATCACACACTGTGTTGGAAGAGGTATGAAAAAACAGGCATTCAAACACTGCTAATAGTAGATACGTAAACCAGCACATCAAAGAAGAGCAGCTGGGCAGCTATCTACTCCGATGAAAAAAAAGAGACAGCTTTTAAACCAGAAATTCCAATTCTGAGTTCACTTTGTAAGTATACTGGCACTCAGGCAAATTGATATATGTACAAATTATGTATCATATTTTATTATATCTCCCCCAAGACCAGAAAAAACTGGCTCCACAAGGCAGGAAAGCCCCTTGCTTTGTACGTTGTTATCCTAAGTGCAAAGAATAGTGCCTGGCATAAAGCAGGTGCTCAATAGTTGGTCAACAGAATGAGAAAAAGCTTAGTTTAAATGTCCATCAATAAGGGAACACTCTGCAACTGTAGGGGGAAAAAGGCAGTTCTTTGTGCACTGACCAAGAACGAGCTCCACTACGAATGTTCGGGGAAAATGCAACGGGCCTGGGGTCGTACACATGTGTAGAAATTGGTTACGCTGAGTGCCTCTAGGTTCAGGAAGAACCAGGAGGCTGGAGGACAGGTGTCCAAGAAAATCTTTTCACTGTACGCTTTTTTATGCTTTGAACTTTGAACATGTGAATGTTATTACCTATTCAAAAACATAAATTTTAGAAAGAGATGAGACCTATTGTAAATTACAGTGGTTGTAAAATGAGGCAGATTCTTAAATTCACTTGAAGTTATTTTATTTAGCAAGTTGAAAATGTGAGGCAAACACCAAAGTCATAATTCTTAAGTGATATATGACTTGCCCCTTAGAATTGCTTTCAAAACAAAGGTAAAGTGAGTGGAACAAAATTTCTCTAATAACTTATATTATTCTGTGAAGTCTATGCAGTTGCTACTTGGATAACAGACCATCATCTAGAGGGAGAAACTGAATTTGAAAAATGAACAATACTTGATACTCAGTTCTGGTTCTTAAATGTTTAACACAACTGTCGATGCCTTGAACTTATTGAGTGGAGTTTCTAGGCAGCAAATAGTATAATCTGGTTCTTTGCAATTCTGTGTTTTCTTACCTACCAGGGCTCATACATTTAATTTCCCAAAAACTATCACCTGTTTTAAAGTGGCAAAATAATTCATTTAAGTGTTAAGCTCCCAAAACAATGCTGTCAGCCCCTAATGCTAAGGACAGCCTCTGCGTGTATACTCATAAATGTGTACTAAAGTTTTACAGATGAGTCTTCCATTGAAATTAGGCTTTTATCACTCCAAAGCAGAAGCGGGGTGTTTTGTTTTCATGAGGGAGGTGACAAAAATGTAAAAAGTGGATAAAAAATATCAATAAAACATTGGCATCCTGGATGGTGTGACTCAGTGGATCCAGTGACAACCTGTGAACTGTAAGGTCCCCGGTTCAATTCCTGGTCAGGGCACGTGCCTGGGTTGCAAGCCAGGTCCACAGTTGGAGACAATGCAAGAGGTACCGATCGATATTTCTCTCACACATCAAGGTTTCTCTTCCTCCCCCTCTTCCCATCTTTCTAAAAATAAATTTAAAAAATTTAAACATAAAAAATAAAATTAAATATTGGGAACATGCATTATAAAGTACTTGGTGAAAACAAATGATCTTGATGGGTAAGCTGACATTAAACTGGTAATCCAAATAAAAAAGGGTCTCAACACAGATCTGAAAAAGCTAAACCACTCAGTTCCTTTCTGAAAGATGGCCGCCCATTATATTAAGATAGTAATGATAGACTTACATGGCAAGCATATTCTGTATTTCATGTTGGATTCATTTATGTCCATTTTTCCTTCCATTATGTGTGGAAAATATTCTAATTTACAATAGCAAGGACGAGTCACAATAAGATTAGCACTAAAAACAGAAACATAAGAGTAAATAATATAAAATAGATAATCATCTGTCTTTTAGCCTTGCCGTGGCAACCTGGGCCAGTAATCTTTGAAGACTGCTTCCTGACTTGCTAGTTCTGACAAAAAGCCATTTTCTATCAACAGAGAAGCAGAAGGTCAGGCCCTTCCTTTCCCCTCTTTCCTGGACCCAAGTAGATAAACACTTCAGAAGCAAAGAGGACAGGAGTGCCTACTTAACAAGGCCACTCAGGCCACAATGGCAGGAGGCCAGTCCTCTCTCTCTCCCAGTATTTCAGCCGAGCAGGTCAGGAATATGAGGCTTCATGGGCTAATCTTACTATAAATGATGCCATTCCTCACCCACCATCAGATGGAGTATGTATGATTTTTCTCCAACAAATCTTACAATTAAAATATTGCTCTGGCTGGTGTGGCTCACTGGATTGAGTGCTGGCCTGCGGACAAAAAGACTGCCAGTTTGATTCCCAGGCAGGGCACAGGCCTGGGTTGTAGGCCAGGTCCCCATTTGGGGGAGTGTGAGAGACAACCAATCAATGTATCTCTCACACATTGATGTTCCCCTCTCTCTAGGAAAAAATAAATCTCGAGAGGCCAGGTAGCTCAGTTGGTGAGAGCATTGTCCCGATAAGCCAAAGTTACGAGCTGGATCCCCAGTCAGGGTACATACAAGGTCAATCAATGAATGCATGAATAAGAAGAGCAACAAATCGATCTTTCCCTCTCTCTATCTCTCTTCCTCCCTCCCTCTCTCTAAAAATCAATCAATAAATTAAAAAATTTAAAAATAAAATCTTTTTATATTAACTCTTGGTTATCTATGATGATGCAAGTGAGCCCAAATATAAATACCAGTAAGTAAAACCAACTCAAGAGGAAAATCTACCTATGCTTTGATCAGTTACTGTGACATGTATCTCACCTAAAATTATTGACACAACCTTGTCTGTTAAATGTTTATCCTCCATCTAAGTAACTAATCCTCTTCACCTGAACTCGAAGCTTCCAAATGAAACACTCTAAAAAAGTGTTCACTTATCATCTGTTGAGTGATAAGCCAATCAATGCTCCTAGCTGGCAGACTGAGCCTGGTACTGGGAGCACAAAAACAGCAATACCATGGCTCCTATCTTTAGGCACCTTTCAACCTAGAAAGGGAAACAAAGTCTAAGTATCAGAGAACAATGCTAAAATAACTTGTTCAGACTGTAAGTGCAAAGGCAATCCAGGTGAGTGGTTTTAGCATATCCTCAAAGTAGTCTACATTTCTCAAAAAATTAAAATTCACTAAAATCTAAAACAAAGTGTCTAGGATTCCTACCTCCTCACTTTATCCCAATACATACAACAGGAGGAGTTTCAGGCATTCAGGAACGGGTTCAGTCCAGAGTAGAGTTTTCGCTGAGCTGAGCGAGACTCAGGGAGGAAAGCAGGTCTACTTCCACAAAGCGAAAGAAGGTGGGGGGAGGAGAAGGGCCAATTGGCACTGGCCATTCCCAAGTGGAAGAAAAACCTCCTGCTTGGGTGGAGGTGCCCTCCCTCTCTTCTGCTGCCTTACAGTGCCGCAAGTCTGGGGGACGGCAAAGCAACAGGAAGGTAAGAAGTTTTACACTACGGTCATTAGAATCTGAAGAATTATTACAAATTTCTCTCAGCCTTGAATACTGCTACACAGACATTTATGCCAAACACTCTCTAAACCACAAAAGACTAGAAGAAATGGAAGTAAAATGAGCCAGAGGGGCCACTTTGTATTGCCATATTTTAAATCTATGCAGAATGGAGCTGTGCCTGAAGAGCAAGGGGGGGGGGGAGATGGCCACTAATGACTACAGACGACAAATCAATAAGGAGTGGATTTTTATAGAACACAAAAATTATATTCATGCTAATTCTAACAACATCACTGGAAGAAAAAAAACATTTGCCTGCTAATAATGTATTTACATCTAGAAATTTATGAAGTGGAAAAGAAACGAGATTTTGCCATGAGACAGGCATGGGTTTTCATTCTTGTTCTTCCATTCATGAGCTGTGAGACCTTAGGCAAATGAGCCTCAATTTTTCCTGATCTGGGAAGGGATGTAACACCTGACACAGGTTGTTGGGAAGTTTGTATGACACATGTAAGGAAGTTAGCACTGTCTATGGCACGAGAAAGGACTAGTGTTTATTCTCATCACATGGCAATAGAAAAAGTTAACAGTACCAGCCTTCTTTCTCCATCCCTCCAAAAATCATCTGGCATACTCTATAACTGGGAAGATCGTATCAGTACCCATCAGTCATAAAGGGTTAAGTAAATCATTATCCCTTCCTATGATCTACACTTATTAAAGAGCCCTCCTGAAAGTTACTGACAATGGAAAAGCTACCAAAGTGTACTGTTAAGTTAAAAAAAAAAACAAAAAACTGAGCAACAATAGATAAAATATTATAAAGTCCAATTTATCTGGCAATATATTAACAGAAATTATCCCTGAAAAGGGAAGTGGCACTGAGGGTATGTTTATATATTTTGTACTGTTTGCGTATTTTTAAATTTAATCTTTATTATATTTTTTCCATTACCATTTAGTCCCCTTATGCATCTTCTATAATTACAAATACTATGTGTGTAATTAAAAACTAATAACAAAAGGAAAAAGATATTAATTGTATAATCAAAGTGAAAATTACTCACAAAGCACTTTTCTATAATATCAGATAGTGAATTCAACCTTCCTATCCAAAACTTTTTTTCCTAAAATAGCTGATGGCCTGACAGTTTTGAAAACCCCACAAACAGACTTATTTTGGGTTCCATCTGCCAGCCAATCTAACGCAGTGAAGGCAAAGCTGGGAAGTGCTGCTTTAGGTGAAGTGGCCAGGATGTTACTTATCATCCACCCTCCATGAC